ACAGTGGGCCCCAATCACCCGTATGTTGCTACGACATATAGGAATACTGGACTGGTTTATATTGCTATGGGTGAGTATTCAAAGGCTTTGGATTATTATGAAAAGACACTGGAACTGGAATTGAAAACACTGGGCCCCAATCACCCGAATGTTGCTACGACATTTTGCAGTCTTGGACTGGTTTATGATGCTATGGGTGACTATTCAAAGGCTTTGGATTATTATGAAAAGACACTGGAACTGGAATTGAAAACAGTGGGCCCCAATCACCCGGATGTTGCTACGACATTTTGCAGTCTTGGACGTGTTTATACTGATATGGGTGACTATTCAAAGGCTTTGGATTATTATGAAAAGACACTGGAACTGAACTTGAAAACACTGGGCCCCAATCACCCGTCTGTTGCTACGACATATAACAATATTGGAGGGGTTTATAATGCTATGGGTGACTATTCAAAGGCTTTGGATTATTATGAAAAGACACTGGAACTGGAATTGAAAACAGTGGGCCCCAATCACCCGTCTGTTGCTGCGACATATAACAACATGGGATTCCTTTTCAAAAATCAAAAGCGCTATAGAGAAGCAAAGAAGTACTTTGAAATGTCTCTAGCAATCAATCAGAAAGCTTTACCTAGCACACATCCGCATGTCTTGAGTGGGCAACAACAGTTATCAGAAGTAACCTCAATTTACGAGAGTTTGTAATTATTTTATTGCTTGCTTAGTGGTGAGACTATTGTATGACTTGAGCACGTTGCTCTGCTCCCGCAGTGCATTTTTGCAAATGTGAAATTTAGTGAAATGCAAGCGTGAAATGTGAAGCTGATTCCGAATGGAGAGGAAGGCCAAGACCTTAGGAACCTGGCCGGACAAATGCAAAACGAAGTCCGAACTAAACAGCCTGACTGGTTCGTTGCGGAGGATGGGAGACTATGATAAAGCTGAACATTATTATCTTATGCTAATCGACAGGACATCAAGCGAAGACCCTGACATCACCAGATCGACTGAAGCATTTACTGCTCAAGTTAATGTGTAGGACAGAGGATAGAGGCGTAGGAGATGGTCAAAAATAACGTTGTGACTGAAGTGGGCAGTAGGAGAAAACTTGGTGGAAAATGACCTTCTACAGATACAGTTTTTAGTTATTCACAAGGGATATAGTAACTGACAGTTCCTCATTATTGCAAAATCGAGTTTTTGTACGCTGAATAGAATCGGTCCAAACTTGTTTTCTGGATAGCTTATTGAATGAATGTACGGGCGGCAAAGTATCTCTTGATTCGAATCACTTGTCGCATTTTTGGCGGGAATAGTGGCGCGTTTAATATTGGGCTACGTTTTGGTATCGGGTTTCTCTCGGTTTCTTACTTCTAGTGACAACAGAGCAACTTGACATCTTTTCACCTATTGCATTAGCATATTGCTGGTTTGACTGTGGCAATTTTGGAACCTTTACTACAGAATTTAGATAGTGCCACCTTGATGCTATCATCCAGAAAATATTTTATGGTCATAGAAATATTCGATTTTTCTCGCATCTGCGATCGTGTCTGTTTGACAAGGATCCTCACTGTACATATAGTACACTATGGATTATTAACAGAAGCTATGTTTATAGCCTTATCACTGAAATATTTCAGTGGAAAATATGCTATTCCAGTTTATTGTATGAAAGACTCTTTGCAGACTCCTTTTCATATTAAAAACAAATTTAGTAAGAACCCCATTTATCGCAATTTTTCCAGTCAACATCAATCGAAATTATGTCAGAATATCAAGATGTACTCTATTTTACCTGTTCAATACGATTTATACTTGAGAATAGTAAAAAATATTCTTGTTCTTCGGAAGATTTCTAGGAAACCAGACGAAATTATGACATAATTTCGATGGATCTTAACTATGAACATTAGTGGCGGCGCCAGGATTTTGCTCTGGGGTGGGCTCAGCCCACCCATTTTGGGAACACTGAAAAAAATTTTCAGGGTGGGCTCAGCCCACCCCTGGCGCCGCCACTAATGAACATGAATACTCGAAAATAGGCAGAAATGGGTTATTCCACCTAATATAAGTTTTCACTAGGTTTTTGGAGTTTTTCTGAAAAGCAAATATTGCCACGAAATTCAGTGTGGTTGATTACCTATGTTTCCATTATTTTCAGAATTGTCACACCTGAAAATATATTGATCCTAGGGTCTTAGGAATTCCGATGCCACGTCTGAAGCGGAGGACTTAATAGTTCGAGCTTTGTCAAAGTTTTTTGGAAAACTCGATTTTTCTCATGGAAAGAAAACGTAAGAAAGATGGAAAAGATTTTTATGTACTTAATTTTTAACGAGGATTTGACGGGAATTTAAAGTATAGTTTGTTTTTTGGTTCTTTCCAGCTTTGGATCGTGTGGGACCATTTTGAGCTAGATTTGCATCGATTTTGTTATTTTTAAAAAATGCATCAGGTGCAGAATTGTTTGCTTTATAACCTATCAAATTTCCATTAGCTCAGGTTTTTCCACCAAAACCGCAAAATTCCAGTAAAATCCTTTTTTTTGACTACTGTTTTAACTTCAATTTTTTCAAATATCAGTTTTTGTTCAGTTTTTTACGCTCTTTCGAATAAAATGTCACTCAAAGAAATTCAATGAAAATTGACGGTTTTTTAGATAAAAAACTGAAACTGGTCAATTTTTCGGTTTTTTGGGCCTAGCTGTTGGAAAAACTTGATTTTCAAGCATAGTTCCAAAGCGTAGGCCTGGCCGCAAAAGCCATCTAGTTTTTTGTGTTATGAGATGGAACTCTGATTCTTGCGCCATGCGATTGGCCTCGATTTGTACTACAGAAGTACGGATCGCTTTTTTTAAATTTGTTTTTGTCCCTGAGAAAGTACATTTTTTGTACAGCGAATAATAAAAGGACAATCTACAGAAAATGGTGAAATCCGGTGATGATAAACAATCAAGTTCAGTGGCCATAGTCAACCGAAATTTATCACCGCTCCATCGAACACGATCACTAACACGAGGCAACCTACTGTCAACTGTGTCACTTACCCAAGCGAAAACTCAATCACGCTCAAAAACAGAACAAAAAGCACACAAAATACAACCAGCAGCAACATCAGTTCTAATTAGTGCTTCTGACTCAGTTACAAATGAAATTACAACAGTTAATGGTCAGTCGAACAATGAAATGGAACAGGAAGAAATTGATCATGCCACGAGTGATGTTAGTACAACAAACAACATCATATGCGTAACAAGAAAGCCGGGAAGAAAAAAACTAAGTCCTGTTTTAGAATTTGCTAAACGCTTAGGACGAACAGAGTTTCTATGTTTAATATGTAATAAGGTACGTTTGTCGAATTTTATGAACTTAAAAGTATATATGAGTATGAAATCAGCCATTTTTTCGAGTCAAAAGTATAAGATCGAACTGCTGAAGAAATTTTGGAAAAGCTATTACATAGATAATTCTGGTTGGAGGCAAAAATTATTCTAGTAAAGAGCAACGTAATATGCTTTTTGTTTACAGGTACGGTCGGTCACCAAACTATTAAGAAGAGTCAGAGTACTTTTCGGTAGGTTACTTTAATAATCGAGTCTATTCCGTTTTCTAAAATAAAAATCCTTTTTTAGAAACGCGACAAAATCAGTATAAAACTTTAAATCTTCAAAACTGATGTATTCCTGTTGTCTGATTATTTATTGGTACTTGGACTTATAAAAAAGATGAGTTTTCTGTTTAGATTTATAAAGAAGGTGAAAGATCTACAGCAAATATCAGAAAACATTTAGCAGATTCTCACTACAAAATGCATCTCAGATTCAAGTCTACATCAGTAAAACCCGTCAAGAAGATTCGTTTGTACGACAAAGAGAAATTGGATGCTGCTGCTATTAGGTGTATCGTAAAAGATGGACGCTCGTTTAGCGATTTTAGGAAAAATGGAATGCAAGAGTTTTTAAATGTAGCAGTGCCAAATTATACTGGTCCTAGTTCAAAAACGGTCAAACGAAGATTATATACGTTATACACAGAAGCACAAGTTAAACTAAAGGCAGAACTCGAATTAGTAAACATGTATCATTAACATGCGATCTATGGTATAGTCGTCAACGCCGCCACTTCTATTGCATCACTGTACATTTTATGGGTGATGATTACAAAATCAGATATACTATATTAAGTTTCCGAGAATGTTTTGGTCATCATTATGCGAAACGCCTTAATCGGCATTTTAACTAGAATTGTTACTTTATATGAATTACAAGGTAAAGTTGCTGCCATTGTAACAGACAATTGCAGCAATATTAAGTCAGCCACACAAGTTGGTTTTGGAGTCCGTATTTATTGTTGTTGTCATGCATTAAATTTAATGATTCAGAATTCTTTACAATTATGGCCAAAACAGACAACGGATAAGAAGAAAGAAGAGTAAGTACACCCCCTTTCTTACTTAGAGCATGATAATCTTCCTACTATACAAAATCTCTCTACTTGAGCAACGAAAGTTTGATATTTCTTGATTGGCTGCATGATAGAACTACGAATCTGTTTAAAAAATTAACTCTTTCTGAGAATTGGATCTTTGTCTTGAGTGAAACGTTAGGAGGCATTTGATTCGAAACTAAACTTTGGATAACAGAATTGGTTAACTGCTAAATCTGCTTCTACTACCTTCGCGTTTTCTTCTAGAGATGATGATAGTGGACTTTCGGAGAATGACAATACTAGTATGACCGAGATAAGTTCGGATGATAATGAGGATGAAGTTGATGATGATTCCAGTATGAACGATTCTTCTACTGATGATGAACAATCACGTAAATATATAAGAAAAATACAAAAATCGTCTATATTATATAATGCTGTGAAAAATATGGCTCCGGGTCAGTTAAAGGTGGGTTTGATTATAGATATGAAAATTAGATGGAACAGCACGTTTAAAATATTAAAGCGACTGTTATTATTTCGAGAATCATTAAATGAATTTCACCAGCATGATTTATCTAACTCGATTGACTCATTGAAATTATCGTTTGACGAGTGGAGAACTATCGAAACGTTAGCAAATATCCTCGATCCAATGAATGATGCCTCAGAGATATTGGCCGGCCAACAATATTCTTCTTTGTCTGCTGCTTTTGGTATCATAAATGCGTCAGAATTTTTCTTGAAAACAAAAAGTTACGATCCGTTTGAAAACTGTGTGAAATCATCGCTGTTGAAATGTTTCAGATTTTATTTCAAAGATCAAATGGATAAAATACAATATAAGTTTATGCTGGTAAATATATATCAATAGTTAATGCGAATCCACGCCTCATTTTGATATTTAGATAGTGTACCCGACATAATCCAGAGTAAGCTGTTTTCTACAAAAAGAGACTGCTCTGAGCTCTCCATGACCTTACGTTACAATTTTTATGGCCTTTTAAGATTTTTCATAAAAGGCTAGAATAGCTAAGAATTCTAGCTCCATTCAACTTTTCTTTCCTTTTAAAATTTTCGGTCCGATCGGATGGAATTTTAAGAGTATTGTGTTGTGCTTAGCGAGTTAAAAAGCCGCTTCTTCCAGGAAAAATCAACACAGGTAATAAATAGTTAGGATCTTCAGAGAATCACTAAAGCCAGCTCCCTTGAACTTTCTGCGTGAGACCAGAGTAACGTTTAGTTTTATTTCTGCAGCATGTCCACAACGCGCCCTGAAACGGGAATGGCTTACACTTGCTTTAGCTTGCGGCATATTTAAATCCAAATACACATTTGGAATTATCTAATGAAGACAAAGTACTGGCCAAACAATTAATTTTAGAAGAGTGGAAAACAACTTCGCCAGCAGCCAGAGCCACAGCTCCTTTAGTAACAACAACGCAACAGCAACAACAACCACCTGCCAGTACTAAAATGGCTATATTTTTAAAAAAAATTGGTAGACCTATTCTCTCAACATTAACAACTACAAATTCGAAAATGTCCGCTCCAGATGTAACAGAAGAGATAGCGCTTTTTCAATTATTGCCAAAAAAAGATATTAACACATCTTCATTCTGGTTGGAAAATACTGATCGCCTACCGCTATTATCAAAGTTTGTGAAGAAATATTTAGCTATACCAGCAAGCACCGTCGCAAGTGAAAGTGCTTTTTCAATTGCAAACTTTATCCTCAGAAATAGTCGTTGTGGCTTTTCGTCGAAGTCAATTAAATTTTCCATGTTCCTGAGAGACAAAGTCTAGTTGTTAAAAGCTATTGTTTATTATTACTATCGATATTTATAGATGAAATAAAATATAGATCTTAGTAGTGAGCTGTAGAAGAAAACAGAAGAGTTTGTGATATACTTTTAACCTTTACAGCTCGGTTCACGTTAGCAAAGAAGCCAATCTTCAAAAAAGATTCTTATCAGGTCTTTATAGTTTAAGAAAAACAAAACATTAAGGTTTTCGTATCTGCTCTTTTCAATGGCATGGTTGTCCAACTTTCAAAGTGTGTCTGTGCAGGCTTCCCAGAAACCTGGTCTTCAGAAAACTAGTACGAACATACTGTCGGAATTGAAAACCACGTCGTTGAAAAGAGTACATACAAAAACCTATAAAAAGTGTATTTAGAGGCTTTTGTGCTAAATTTCTAGCACATGTTCACGTGCTAAGCCAAAATTGTTTACTATGTCACATACAGTCAAACCGTTACCGTTACAAGTAACGGCCGTTACCCGTTACTAGTAACGGTAACGCTTCAATCGTTACCGTTACAGTAACGATAACTGGTAATGGTCCACCCTCTAGTCTAGACGCATTTAGACGCGTTTGCTCACTACTACCACATTAAACGGGTCATTTCGCGTTCTTTCAAGAAAAAGTTCTAAAACGCGTTCGTACAGGGCGCGTTTTAACGCGTTTGCCAAGTTTTTTCCAAATTACCCGCGTCCAGACGTGTCTTTTCGGAACGAAACGCGTTTCTTCAGACGCACCCAAGTTACATGGGAAGGAAAACTCTATAACTTAGCAGCGTATAGATACAGAAGACAGAAACTTTCTGTGCATATAGTACACATGTAGAACTATCCTAAAAAAAACTTTCACATTTTTGCACCGTAATTAGACGTAGTTATGAATTTTTCAATATTCGCTCTTTTACCGTGTACAGGCAAAATAAAAAAATCATAACTTTTGAAAGAAACGACAAGAGCACAAATCCTTTAGGGTTTTTACTATCTGATCAAATACATGTTCTTGTTTTTTATAAAAATTGCGAATTTTTTTAAGCCAAACATTTTCTACAAATGATGTGTATATATATCATTCGCATTCAAACAGAGCAGAGTCTTATTTTGTAATGTGGTGTGAAGTTCAATTTTTCTCGATTACGTCATGCTCTCAAGAAAAGTCCAACTAAAACATGGTGTAATCTGGAATGCTCAAGTTTCAAGTCAAATTTGTAAGAGTTTTCTGATGTAGATTAGATATGTTGTCCTGACTTCCCTAGTTCAATACCATCCAGAGATTTCGAGCTTTTTTGATCAGAAGAGGACTCAAATTGTGGCGAAAAGCTTGTAAAAATTTTAAAAAATTCACTAATTTCATCTAAAATCCTTGGAGAAGAAAGACAGACTTCTGAACACTCGAAATCGATGCACTTCTCTTCAAAGAATTAACGCAAAAGTTCTCTGTAACGTTTTTTCGCCAACGAAACATTTTCAGCGGAGGAAAGTCATGCAAACATTTTCATGGAAAGTCCGAAATTTCAAGAAGGGGCTAGCAACTCTGATTGTGATTCTGACGTTACCTGACAGGATACAATCGGTACTACATAAAATACATTATAACGTCTCGAATACCACAGACCAGAGAAAGTGCGAAAATTTTAAAGCTACCAAAATCTGCAAAAATTAGTGAGCGATTCGGTGACATTTTTCCAAAAAATTTTCAAATTACAGAAAAATTTCAATAAATTTCTCCGAAACTAGAGAAATATCGGTTCAAACAGCAGGAAGACCTGAGCATTGATGTCGACCTATAGACAAGAGTAACCAATATTTCAAAAGCTTTTTTCACAAATATACTCGGAGGAACGGACAACATTTTGGTGAACCGTCTGAAAGACCACTCTTCTCCTGAGCAATGCTTAAAACAAAAGAAATGTTCGACCTTACGGAAAACTCTTACAGCAGTAGTCACGATTCTTGCTTTATTATAAAGTAGTAGAAATAATGATGTAAGTTCAGTGTCGAAGTGACCCTGAGATGCACTATTTCGCTTGATTGCATCATGTTCCCAAAGAGAAATCCGGGTAAAAACATGGTGAAATAGCGACTCAGCTGCCTGAAGAAAAACTCTAGAGTTTTTGCGACTCTGGAACCTGTGCTTTCCAGTATCCTTCGATCCAAAGAAGTTGATATTTTACTGCAAGATTTTTGCACAAGAAAAATGGAATATTTTCTATGTCAAAATTTCACTACAACATGTTGTCGACGAAAAGTCCGAGTAAAACATGATGTAACCAGGATGGAGAAGAGGATTGTAAAATGTGGGAGGAATTATACATCTTTTCTTGTGTCTGAGATAGGCGCGTATTTTTAATTAATCATATGTAAAGAAAATTGTCTAAGAACCATTGTCTTCTATGTTTGGCGCCGTTTCTGTAGCGCATGTGCACACAGCTATGACTTTCACACAGACAGCTTCGGATACACAGACAGCTATGACTTTCCGGATGTTCTAATTCCGTCTGATTTTTACCGTTTCACTCAGTCGACTTTTTAATCTTCCCGGATGGGTAAAAAGGGTCTAGCAAGAAAAGGAAGATAAAAAGAAATTTTTGAAAAATTCCAGTTTTTCGATTTTGACCCAAAATTAAAATTCACTTTTGGCACGTCAGATTCTGAATTTGGTCAGCTAGAGTTAGAATTCCAGTTTTGGCCGGCCAAATTCGGAATATGGCCGAATTCTAAGTTTGGCCACAACATATATATACATTTGCTTATATAATTATGATTATTCATGCGGGAATTAACTCTTTCTCGTATTAGTATGTTTTTCTAATTTTGTAGGATCATAAAAATATTATTTTTCTAAGTTAAAATGATTTAGAACAGAAATAAATTTCATATTTTGGGCGGAGGCGGAAATTTACAAAAAGTTTTGACGGAATTTCTAAGTGACGGAGACGAAAAGGCGGAGGTGGAAATTTACCCACAACCGTGTTTTATCAGACTAATTGAATATAGTTGAAACAAGCGATTTAATCAAATCGGTCTCCCTTTTTTGTTGCAGAATTTTGACTATTTTGAATGTCGTGGTCGACGGTGTGTAGGCGAAATTCTAGAACATTTCAAGTGTGGTGTAACAGATAAATTTTCATTGAATAGAAGAAATTGTGTGGGAGGTAAAGACTTTTAGAAAAAATGTATTCGTCTAGTATTCTTTAATTCACTTGCTTTGCCATTCAAACAGGATTGGAACACACCTTGTCGAAAATCGGTCTGAGGTAAAAATAAGATGGCTCGATTATCAACTATACGCGAGAGATATGTGGACAAAGTATCTAAGTCGAATTAACGAATCGCAATTTTTAAGCCTAAAAATGATGCAACAATTCGCATTTTACGCTTTTGAGAATTCGCAGCGAATTGATGCGAACTACATCGAATTCGTACAGATACTCTTAAAAACTTTTACGAATTCGTAAACATGCGAATAGATCGGACACGATGCTGATCAATTCGCAAATAATTCGAAAAATAAGTTTACGAATTAGTGTTCACTGCTTTTAGAACTACACTGATTCGTAAATACGAATTAGCGAATTCGTATTATGAACTGAGCTAGCGGCTGAAAACGGGTACTTCTAAAAGCAATTCGCCGTTATTCTTACGAATTGATGTCAAGGACAAGAAGCATTTCTATGAGATTATAAATAGATAGATTCGTCTCTTCACATCAGTTCGCATACTTCTCGCCTCAATTCGCCGTTACTTTTACGAATTCGCAAAAAAATGACTGTAATACAGTGTAACACGTTTGGCTTGTTGTGTAAACATTCACAGCCATCCTTGCACAATTTCTTGTCCTTGATATCAATTCGCATTTTACAAATTCGTAGGTACCCGAAATTTCTTGTCTACGAATTCATCCCAGTGTACGAATTGGCAAGAGGAACAAAAGAGGCACTTTTTCAGTTATTTTTTCATCGTTTTTGTCAGTTCGCATCAGTTCGCACTGAATCTCGAATTCGCAAAACAATGGTAAAATGCGAATTGTTGCATCATTTTTACGCTTAAATATTGCAATTCGTCTTTAGACACTTTATCCACACTAATACTACGCGATCATCTCCTTTTAGTATAAAAGCTTAACACTAATTGACGACAATTTAGCGTAAGATGTGCCAAACTTGTAGATCGATGTTTATTGATAAAGTATCCAGTCTAAAAGGTTAAAGAAAAAATGTACAACCACAATAACTCAAAACACACTGTTTTGGTAAATAGACACAATAAAAATAAATCCAAATACTGATCACAGTATCTAATGATCTCGTTCATGCGGCGGACGATAAGGCAAATTCAAATAATTAAATATAGATTCTTCTGTGGGTGTTGGTAAACGAGTACCGAGATTAATCTTTGTTTTGCCCTATTAACAAACAAAAAGGAAATCAGTTTTAGCAGTGATTGATTAGATGACTTGTTGAGGTTCGATCACACTATTCAGGTATTTCCATACAATTTCCCAATTGCTTTTAGAATAATCCTCTGACGAAAAACACTTGTTTTGATTTAGACTTTCAAGCATTAGACCAATATATTTTCAACTGTGAATATTGACTGTCCCTCCCGTATAATTCACAACTTGTGACCTAACGTCAAGTGTCATCAGAACTTAACAAAATTATTAGCATTCTCAAATCGAATCGGTGTTAAACAAAAGATATCCTATACGCACATTTCTAATAATTCCCGTATTCAATCGATGTTGCGATAAATACAAATTCATTCCATCTGCTAAATGTCTCATTGAACGATTGAATAATGTGGAACCAGTAAAATAGAGAAGAGCACAAGCATATTCCTGATAAGGAACAATAATTATATCTAATCGACGATGCTAAAAAAGAGAAAATATGCCGAATGATAGAAATTAAAAGAGAGATGAAATATATACCTTTCTTCCTTCACCCGGTAATAGACACACACCACAATATTTCATATGTGATCTGTCAAGAAACAAAATATATTAATAATTGTTTACTCTTTTTAATTTATTTTTATATGCTGATTGTACTTACCCTGGCTCTTCATCAACTTTTTCCGAATACATTAAGTCGTCAGTCAGAAATCCTAAACAATAGTTAATGAAAAATAATCAAAATGAATATAAGATATAGGAGATTTTTGAATAAACTATGGCTGAATTAGAAGCGCTAATTGAATTCTCTATCGTTTAGTTATGTACGCCATCAATAAACCGTTCTATGTGCACATCTGGCATACATGTGAAAAGTCGATCAAACCTTGTATTTGACGTACCCTCGATCAAGTCATAGAATATAACATAGCATGACGTCAGAAGAATAAAAAGGCAAAACACAGTCACCATTCTAAGCATATGGCTTTCTTGCGTTTTTATGACGTAACAGAAAATATTTATGTCACTTCGATCTATCAGGTGGCCCAGAATAAATGGCGATCTCTGGATTTGCTATTTGTCACGGGTCTCTATACAAATCTGTTCTAAAAGATTCACTGTTTCATTGTCTGCTAAAAAGAGGATTAATGTTTAATTAGAAAACATCAAAGTATTATACGAAAAATCTTGAGAAGCTTTGAAATGGGAAACTGTCTTGTTGAAGCACAAAAACAGCTGCCTGTAAAAATCCGATAAACGACAAACTAGTTCTGAGCACAAATACATCGATTTTCTTTTTCGACATTCTATTCTAGTATAAATCTGAAGTCGATTGGGTCCTTGCTTTCACCTTTCTCAACAAGGTCAATCACGCGAGGGAGGGAAGCACTCTTGAAATTTTACCACATTGTAACGAACTATATGAGAAACGTTTTTCTCTTCGTTTGGTAATAAATTTTTCATCACTGTGTAAAATTCTCAACATACATTCACTTTCAAACATTTTTGGTTTAAGACCTATGTTGCTTTTATTTCGAAGAGAAATGACGTGTCTGTTATATCAGATGCGAAAAGCTCCAGAAGTTCTTTTCTTTCTTCCAAGATGATGAGAGAAAAATATCAAAAATTTTCTTACTTTTAAAAAGGTTTTAATCAAGGTTACTCTTTGTGCCTTAAAACTACACTTAGGAGTCATTGCATGAGAATGACGACTGTTTCGCACAGAAGCGTGCTCAATGACTATTTCAGACCTTTGTCTAAGTAGTCTCATCTTGTAGAGAAGGGTCGAAAACCTATAAATCCAAATTTGTAGGCTTCCCGAACTTTTCGTTCTGTAGATATGAAATTTTTTCGAGTGGAGTAAAGTTCGAGAAAGTTATGCGCGTGAAAAACGTACATTTCATTTTTCTCGTGAACAAGAAGAGACGAAACCGCATTTTTTCAGGCTAGGTAGCAGTTGATGTCTACCATAAGTCGGACTACTTGCACTAGATAGTACTCTCAGTGTACTATCTGGAATCACCGTCAAAAGTTTGGGATAAGCAAATTTGCCACAGAAAGTTTTGAGACCGAAGTCGAAGTAAACGGTCGGCATAAACATTCACCTTTCTATCTTAATGAAAAACTATATACTTTTCAAAAGAATACCATTGGATAGCCCGTGGAATTTTCTGGAAACTGAACTGGTCAGAAAATCTAGACAGGTGTAGCCAGTAATAAAGATATGCAAAATAAGCGTTTGAGTGCTATATATGCAGCACAGCGGGTCATGATCATAAGAACTCCTTTGTTTTTGATTTTTTATCAAATGCTGAAACCAATCTGAATACTGTTTTGAGTAGCCCGAACATTTTTCTATCAGATGAGGTGCATACCACCATTTTTGGAGGAAACTTGATAGTAGGGTTTCTGGAAAGTCTGAAGGCTAGAAAATCAAGTCTTTGATTTTTGATCAGAAAATTTTTCAAAACATATGGCCTGATAGAGCGAGGAATTCTGAGGAAAGTAAGATATCTGCCGGCTGTCCATAACGCTTTTTCCTCCGACTGCAGTCGATTTACGAATGGTTTCAAAGGGGGGTGAAGTTAGCAAAATATTCCAGTGAAAAAGCGTTTTCGACCCTTTTCTACAAGATGAGGCTACTTAGACAAAAATCTGAAATAGTCATTGAGCTTGGCTTGTCGTGGCTTATGTGCAATGACTCTTAGATGAGCATATCTGACAGGGAAAAAAAGATACAGATGCGCGCAGCTGATTCGTATATCTTCATATGAAAATAAAATTTGACTTTTCTAAGAAATACTCATTCTGGATCATGAAAAGCAAATACAGGGACCACCATTTATCCTGAGCTGCTCAACAGTTGATTTAGATGAAATTTAATTATCTCGCATATTCTGCCACAGCTTGCGTGGTGTGATGGACATCACGCCGCTTTCCAAGTTCAAACCTCAGCTCTTTTTCTAAGTGACCACGAGCATGGCATTAGAAAAAATTGTTGATATCACTAGTAACTACGAGCATCAGATGTAATTTCTACACCTTATTGTATTGGCAACGTTAAACGCTCACCGATATTATTCTTGTTTATACGTTTAAAAGCGAGTCGCAATCAATTACTTACCACATAATTTTAAACCATCAACTAATGGATAAAACAAATATTCATGAGATACACCATCCGGATGAGAGATTAAAACATCAACATCGCCACAAGACGCTTTACCACGACGATAAGAACCGCACGTTTGAATAATAACTCCCGGACGAAGAACTTGAACAGCATCAGAAACCTAAAAAGCAACAAAAATTTATCATGTTAAACAAACATCATGGTCAATAACATACCACTTTTTCTATTTCTGACACTTCTTCACGTGGTATACGCTCCAAAAATTCATCATAATATTTTAATCCAATTATTTGATTGTGGGTTAATTTTGCTTTTGTACGTAAATCATCTAATGTTCGAAAGCCCTAAGAAAAAGAAATGATCTTATAAACGTTTGCACAAGTGTAATCGAGTTAAAGTAAAATTTTTCTTATCAAGCTAGTAGTTGACTTTTTTTGTTTACAAAAGAATGTTTCCTAAGAGTCATTTTTCTATGTTTGAGCTTACTTGATCAAACCATTTTTTCGCAGCTGCAGGTCCTGTTCCCCAAACCTGCCCAAATAAATTCATTGTTGTTATGTCATTATCTGTTTGAAATTCGTCTAGTTTCCATAGACCACCTGTTTCGATTATTTCCAAAATTTTATCAGCTAAACGTTGACCAATATCGGGCAATGATATTAGCTCCTATACGAGAATACACAGATTTTTTATTTAAACAAAAATATATCTGACGGATAACCATACCTGAGATTTCATTCATCTTTCGTGTTCAGAGATGAATATCAGAAGAACGAAAGATGAATCATCCTAGATTCGTCACTATATACATTCAATTACTCACCTCATATGTTTGAATCGGTTTTGTGCATCTTTTCAATGTACTTATGCCTTTTTGATAACCGTATGCCCTCCATTTATCGTTCGAGTTACGATATAAATCGGCCATTTCCTGAAGATAAGTAAGAATGTGTGAGTTCAAAGAAAAAGCGACAAAAACGTTTCTGACTGTAAAGTGGCGAACACAAGTTTAGGATCACTTTTATTTTTGAATTTTCTCGTGAACTAAAGTAGCTAGAATAAATCCGAGAATAGATTTATATAGAGAACACCTTAGAGTATCTAAGCATGTAAGAAGAAAAATTTTCATTTAACTTTAGCTGGTTTAAAGAAGATGAAATTTTAAAAATTTAAAAGCATTAAATTTTCAACTTTTTTAAAGTCAGTTAAAAGTCATTTTCAATCATTCAGTAAAATAGAGCAGACTTTTTTCATCAAAATGAGACGTTGTACGACTCGGTGCGATCTTTCTTCAATGAGTTATGAATTTTTCTCGGAATGCATCGACGTCTTTTTTTATACTGAAAAATACACTTTTTTAACGATCTGCTCGAATTTTTCGGTATGGTGCATTCCGAGTAAAATTCATAACTCATTGAAGAAAGGTCGCACCGAGTCGTACAAAACGTCTCATTTTGACGAAAAAAGTCTACTGTATTTTTGCTGAATGATCGAAAATGGCTTTTAACTGACTTTAAAAAAGTTGAAAATTTAATGCTTTTAAATT